CGGGTTGTAAAGGGGGCCGCCTGCACCCAGAGCGGGGCTGCTGCTGCTGCGGCTGCCACCACTGCTGCTGCTGCTGCTGCTGCGTTCTCCCAGGCGTTTCAGGATGTAATAGAGTGGATGCACAGGGCTGATGGAAGACAATGGCAATCGGCCTCTCCTCATTAGATGCGGGGAGCTCATTATGGCCGTCGGCGCAGCGCAGCACAGTTTTACTCTCCCGAGGTGACCAAAGGTGCTTACACGGAGCGTCCGGCGTCAGTAATGATGGTCCAGACCTGTCCCTGCTGTCACAGCGCTGACGCAGCCGTCCTCTGCTGAGAGGATGAGGCAACAGACGCGGCGTTTCTACATCCTGAACCAAACCTGTGGCCACGGCCGCAACAACTTTCTAAACTGTTGATTCTTTCAATTTGTGAAATGTCAACGCAGATGATTTCCTGTCAATTTATCAGCAATTTGATTGGGGTTTTTCTATGTGCGCACAAAAGGACAGAGTGTGGCTTTAGGAGCCCTGAACAGAGGCCTGCTCAGCTGGAGGCAGTCTGTGAGAGACAGCTGATCAATGGCTGCAGAGTGGAGAGAGGAGATGAAAAGATGTCTTTTAAACCTCATGAAAAGGAGCTTGTAGGAGGGCGTTCTGCTCAGCTTTTCCATTTTTAACCTCAATCATTTGAGCAGAGCTTAAATGAAAGGAGGGGGTGGTGGGACCGGAGCCCACCGGGGCTCTTCTGACTTGTGTCGAGAGCTGTTAGAAAAGTCACATGTTGACATACAACATCTCAGCTTGGTTCTGGCTGAAGCCAGAATCTGACGGCTCTCACAACCGTAAATTGGATCTTTACGGTCAAACTGTCTGAGGAGTCGGTCATCGGTGATCACAACCAGACAGAACTAAGGTTTCTGCTCTGCTGTGGTGACACTTTGGTCGCACCGACCATAGGAATCCATCAGTGTGAGGAGGACCAGTGATGGAGGTCAGACAAGGGTCAGGTACGGTCTGACCACAAGGTCCGGCCCAAGTTATGGAAATTAGGTTCAGTGCTACTTGTTGGACTGTACGTCTCCCCTGAATGTGGGCTGTATAAAAGGTCAGGTAGCCCATACTGTGGCTGTTCGGTCAGTGGTTAAAAACAACCTGGAACAGCCATGGAGACGTAGAAACATCTGGTTTCATTTTCCTGGCAGTCTGAACACTTTTTCTCAGTTCCTACACAGCAACGACAAAAACGACAAATCTTAGTTATAGTTAAAAAAACCCACCACATCAGACCCATATCACACTGTCTGCACAGACTGTGTAAAAGCCCGTGGTCAGATCCAACGTCTGATTGTAATGGGCCACATGAAGCGCCAATTTAACACCACGTCCAGCACCGACGTACAAATGAGAGTGAGCTGGAGAGGGGACCAATATTAATCCTGTCCAGATTGTGGACTGTGTGAATTATGCTAAAGAACCTTATCCGTTATTCCCTTCCTGCTCCTGCTGCGTGAATTGATTGCGTTTTTTTTTTGCTCTTAATCCGCAGCATGCCATGCATCCTGGGAGCCATCTTGAACAAATAGAATTTGGTCTTGACAAAAGCCGTCTCCAGCTGAGCTGTGAGAAAGCGTCCTTTCACCGACGTCACATTAGGAAATAGCAGAGTTTCACACAAATCGATTTGAGTGTTAGCGGCTTCTCTGGGGACATGCTTTTAAAAGCCTCTCACTGCTGCTGCTGCTGCTGCTGCTGCTGCTGCGTTCTCCGCAGCCACTGCGGCCATTTTAATGAGATTAATTAGATCGCTTATGAGTGATGGTCCTTCACCAATTACCTGAGACCTAATACCATTTTCCTTCAACGGCGTCTGTGCCAGGAGTGAAGAAGCAGCAGAAGCGGCGGCAGGAAATGATTAATCATCTCATCACTGTCCCCAGAGATAATTCCTCTATCAAGAGACAAAAGCTTCTCTTTTCCTCTTCTAGTTTTTTTTCCTGATTCTGTCAAGCATTTCCAATGTTCATGTTTTCTATGTTTTTTATTTTTTTGGGTATCTTTTAAAAGGCCATAAATGAATTTCTTTTTGGTTTGAACAACTTAACAAAGACTGAAATCATCGAGTTTTTTTTCCCTAATGATTTCAGCTTCTTAAAAAACACTGCTGATTTATTTAATTATCCTTTAACATATTCTAACTTCTTCACAACGCTATCATTTTTATAATGTTTGTTCATTTTAATTTTCTCACCCCAAAATATAAATACCATATTTTATGATATAATGATTATATGAATTTTCATTTATAAAAAGGCTATACAAAAAATGTTTCAATACAAAACATTATATTACATTTGAGGAATTACATATGTTATATCTATTATTTGTTTTATATACAGTATATTTCAACCTGATACAATTCTCTATATTTTATCATTTTTCTGCACAATATTAAATTAAATTAATATGGTGGCCTTACAGGATTACTAGCAGTTGGTTAAACCAGACTAGATGGATTAGATAATGCAGGTCAACAGACTGTAGCAGCAGCAGCAGCAGCAGCAGCAGCACAGCTTCCTGTAAATTCGGCTTCTAAGGGACAGGAGTGTTTTTTCATGCCTGTAGGAGTGTCGGTGTGTTTGTGTGTGTGTGTGTGTTTCCTCTTCCTGCCCTTCAGGCAGGAAGGGTCAGAGACACAGAGAAATCACAGCGGTGAGCGTGGCAGCCAGGAATCAAACCACAGCAGGATTGGGCCACAGAGTGGAGAGTTGAGGACGGCGTGCTGCGCAGCACGCAGGCTTTTATTGGCCCTTCTCCATCACACCTGTCACACTAGATTGGGTTTGTGGAAGCGCTTCCTTCAGCTGAAAAGGCCAAAGTAGATTACAGAGGGGAAGCAGGGGAAGATGGAAATGGAATAAACGGCGGGGAAAGGCGCCAAATCTAACGGTGTGCTGTCGGAATGCAAATGATGATTGAATTATGAATGATTGGTGTGGTTTTGTTGTCTGTTGTTGCCTGGTTGGAGTTGCACTTTCAGGTCGTTTTCATGTCAACGCTGCTTAAAAGGACGCCGCATATTGCCACCGACTGCGGGCGCGTCATCCTTGACATCATTATAATAATTCTACACATAATCTCAGTTCTTTAATTGAGCAAAGTCCTATGGAATTGACTGATTCCAATTTTAATCTATTTCTCAATTTCCTGCGGACCCCCAGGAGTTCTCCCAGGGCCTCTGGAGGTCCACTGACCCACATTTACAAAACATGTGGGGTCTTAAATGAATTTTTCTTTTTTTCATCTCTGAGTACTTTGACTTTAATCAGTTATTAATTCATAGTTTATTTTAACAAAACTCTGCCTAAGCTGTTTTGTTGTGTTTTGACTCTGAAGTAATGATTATCTCCAAATCAGGGTCACCTTTTGAACTCCGTGTCATCCTTAGTCTACAGTAATCTTTAGAATATGTTCATGCTTTATATTAAAATTAAAATTTAGGAAACTTCACTGCCTGAAACCCTTTGTTCAGATTTTCCTGACCACAGGAGGCAGCATTGGACCAACAGTCCCAGTTAGTATTTAAATCTACACATTTCCGCTCAGTCCCATTAAATGACCAAGTTGCTCTAAGTTTGTGCATTTAAACATCAGTTCAGATTTTCTTCTGCACTTTTCTTCCAGCACACCCCTCCATGGTGAAGCACCATGGTATTACTTCCACTACATACTTGCCGAAGCTAATTTTGGCCATGTGATGTCGGAGGTGTGCCGTGTTGCTATGTAACCTGGAGGGAAACGTCTGTGCCGCAGTGGCGCTCAAGCAAAGATGTTGATTGCGCTTGATGGAAAAAGTGACTTTTGCTCTGCTGTGGACTTCAGAAGGCGGAGGAGGAGGAGGAGGAGGAGAAGGAGGAAGAGGTGGGCGTGAAGGGAGGCCGTAGACATGGAGCAAACATTCAGACCGGGTCAGTGTTCGTCTGTGTTTGAGTCTATCTTTATTACCGTCATCACCTGCGGAGCTAATGTTTCTCATCAAATGGTGTCACCACCGCTGCTCTTTACCAAGCAGCCCCTGTGGGAAGAACACGAGACGACTTCATCGGCACTCGCCTCATTATGGCATCGTACACACACGTGTACGAGCGAAGGCGCGTGTATGTGCACACGCGGCTCGTGGGTGTAATAAAGCAGCAGATCAGAGTCATTGGCTGCTGACAGCCACTGACACTGAACGCTGCTGTTGTTTGAGAGCTGCCTGGGAGATGTTCATTACTCAGCCAGCCTGTCGCTTTGGACAGGAGAGGAACATTGGCCTTATTAAGTAGAGACCTGGAGCAGCCGTGGGGGAAACACACACAGACACACGTTTCACCCACACACACAGGGGTGCTCAGAAAAAAAAAAGTTTAGAAGCTGTGTGTCTCAGTGAATGCTCTGATTGGCTGAGAGAAGCTGAAACATTTCTGCAAACTTTTCGGCAGTGGCAGGGATTTGCTGAGGCTGCACTCGCATGAAATCAGGACACAGAAATGAACCAAGTCTCCAGGTGGAAAAGTGAAACCTTTTTTTAACACCTCCATTCTGTGACCTGCACCATATCAAGTGTTATTCAAGAACAGGATGTCTACCTCTGCTGATAAACAAGATTATATTTTTACAATTCTGAAATGACGTCCGACTAAAAGACAACTGGAACCACTCTTTGAACCACAATGACCGATAAATGAAATCAAACAACAACAACAAAAAATAAACATCTTACCTTATTTTTTACACACAAAAGTGGCCCTCATCTGGGTAACTACACCCAGCCTGGCTCAGCCCTGGTATCATGTGAGAGGATGACTTTGTTTCCTCCTTCTTAGATCTGTAGCGAGGTTCTGCAAAGATATGGACCAAAGTTTACAGTGAGGGAGAGGCTGATCTAGGAACGTTACACATCTGAACATTTATGGATTAGCTGTTTCTTTACTTAATCTGTGTATTTTGTAATATATATATAGATAGATATATATATAACCACAGTTTAACAAGGTTTTTGGCTATCTTTTCCATAAATCCAGTTAACTCTCAGTTATTTCTGAGCTAAGGTTACATTTGCACTTTTCTTCTTAGCGATTCTTTGACTGGTCTTCAGTTATCTCAAATCAATTTTTGTTTTACAAAGTGGGGACATGGTGGCTTGGTGGTTAATGAAGCGGACTTGGGTCTGGAAGGTTAAGGTTCGAGTCCACCAGCTGCCAAGTTTCCACTGAGGTGCTCTGAGCATGGCACTGTCCCCACACACTGCTCCCCCGGTGCCCTA